CAGCAATGTCAGTTAGAATAGGGAGAGGAGGCTGTAGTGGTCAGAGCGGGGGTGGAGGAGAGGTTATGGGAGCACCGACTGGAAAGATTCTGTCAGTTGGGGATCACTGTAGTAGGGATCTTTCATCTTAAGAAACATCTCAATAACTCCTCAGTTAAAGTCCAAGAATTTCAAAAATTGAATGCAGCAGTATTGGGCCTTTGGAGATGGGCTATTAGGTCCATGTGCAGTCAGTGTCAGAGTTTGGCCTGCATTGCTGGCAATCAGGTTGACTTTTTCTGGTGAGAGCAAAACTCCATGATTTGCCACTCATTTTGTTCTTAACCTTTATGGATATTATTCCTAGGCACCTCCAAGGTGCTGAAAGGATCCACTTGGCTGGCCTAGCAATCTGGCCTCTGCCTTTCCTACCCTTTACCCATCTATTACACTTAGACACAATTCATTCTGATTCACTTGTCATCATTTAACAATATTTAGAGATGTATTAGTAAGAAGGACCAGGGGACAGCTTGAGGGTCAAAGTTCATGACAGCCTGATGAAGAGGCCAATCCTCAGTTTTGTCTGCGCAGGCTTTGATGCTGCTTGATCTTCTGCCTGAAGGATTGAGGGTGGAAAGTCAAAATATCACACTGTATTTTCAGCCCAGCAAACTGCATTTGGCTCTTTAAAACCCTCTGACAGAAATTCCAGTCTGTGCTAATGGATATGAAATATGAATATGTATGAAACTTTGAACATAACAACATGCAGCTGAACTTATAACAAGCAGTTATGGATGCTGATAAATGTTAAACCTCAGAATGACTGAATAAAAATCTTTAGTGATGTTTTCAGCCACCTCGACACTGATGATGGAAATGGTTCATTATTGGTCAAACGTTTGATGGGTGTGTGTGTGTGTGTGTGTGTGTGTGTGTGTGTGTGTTATTGAAATACTAATCTTATCAAATCTTGATGACTCATGTGTTACTGTGTTCCGTGACACATGAGGCTTTCATGCGTGGAATAAAGGACACGGTGATGTCACTTTGGTCAGAACTGTCACATCCAGCTTGGACCCCCCTAACAAGTATCCTGTGGGTTTTTCACTTTAGATTCACACATCAGATTATAGTTGGTGCTGCATCTAAAATCTCTGGGAGCATTTACTTAACGTTTTGTCTCTGGGCTAACAACATCAAAGCAGTACCTTGGGAGCTTTTTCTCTCAGCGTTTTTAGGAAGTTTACAAAGGTGATTGTTATAATTAATTACAGCAGGTGTGTAAGATGACCCCTGGAGAGTGTCAGTGTGCAGTTCGCCTGCTGTGCAGACACCAGTGGTTCTCAATTACTTTCTGTCATACCCCCCCCCCCCCAGAGAACATAATTCTTTAGCATCCCCCACCCCATCCCCACCTAAAGAGGATACGCCAGCTAACACCTCTCCACACACAGCTGCTAGTTTTAAAAGTACATCAAGTTGAGGGTGAATCCGTGGTTTAAAGTCCTGATTGTGTTGACCAGTATTGGGCATTTCATGTTGGAAAACGTAATTAGATATAGTTAAAAATTGCTTTTTCCAAATAGCAATGAATGAATGAACTCAGTGATTCTAATGAACATTTCAGATATGTAAAATGGTAAGAATGTTCTCATGGACGTCTGGAATGTTCCTCTCTACTAGGAGCAATATAATTGTAGAAATCTGGAATATTATCCAGTCTGCCTAATAAAAGTTAAAAGGACCACCGTAAGTTTTTAGGGATTCTGACATATCTAAATCTTGATTCCTACTAATTCAGCTGTTATTATGGATATCCTTAATTATTATTTCTCATTTTGACTAACTAAAGAATACAGTTTGTTCTAGGATCAATTAAATTATTTCTATATAAAATAGGAATCACAGAGAGGCCTGACTGCTGATTAAATGTTAAAACAGCTTTCCATATTTTTTATTCCATAAACGGGTCTATTAAAGTATCATTCTGGAGTTTTCCTCTTTCAGAAATTATGCATGATTTTTCAGAAATCCGTAAAAGTGATTATCTCATCATGTACTATGATATAATGTAAGCAATTTGTCTTTTTTTTTGCTAAGCACGCCCCCTGCCCCGCAGAGCTCCATGCAATAGGACACTGAGCGCAAAGAGAGTCAGTGACTTTACAGCAATCCTCATACTAAGCAAGCATGCAGAGACAGTGGAGAGGAAAACTCCCTTTTAACAAGAAGAAACCTCCAGAGGATCCTGGCTCAGTGTAAGCAGCCATCTGCCACCACTCACTGGGGATTGAGAAGACAGAGGGCATGCGCGCACACACACACACACACACACACACACACACACACACACACACACACACACACACACACACACACACACACACACACACACACGCACGCACGCACACACACACACACACAAGTAATGTTTCTATGGTTACACTGTGATTTCTTAGTAAATAATCTATTTGGTGAGAGATAAACTTTGTTGTATTTATCCTAGTGAATCTATAATTAAATGGGTAAACTAGTAGTAGCACATTCAATGTCAATGAAAGTAAAATGTTATTATCAGGAGAGGGAGAATGTTTAAGTGGTTAGCAGCAGTGTGCTAGCCGATGGCCCCCTCCATGAGGCTACCACAGCTCAGCAGAACATCATTGTAGATTCTTCTGGGGAGAAAAACACAATATATGAGAACACAACATGACATGAGAATAATAATTATAAAATATTGTGTTTAGCTCTGGGGGCTGTATCATTGGTGTCATTTAGGTTTACAGTTTAGTAGGCACAGATTGAGTGAACAGCCCCAACAATAGCAGAAGCGTTTTGCAGATGCACACATCTCCGACTAATGATATGATTTTATGTGTGTGTGTGTGTGTGTGCGTGTGTGTGTGTGTGTGTATATATATATATATATATATATATATATATATATATATATATATATATATATATATATATATATATATATATATATATATATATATATATATATATATATATATATATATATATACATATATATATATATATATATATATATATATATATATATATATATATATATATATATATATATATATATATACATAGGTATTCACTGAGATTTTAGAGATTTAAACAGATGACAGCATTCATTTTGATCATGGTCCTTCTCAGATTCGTAGCTCATTAATCAGGTTAAAAAGAAAATTTGGTTTCTCCAACCTGAGTTTATTGGAAGGTCAGAAACCAGTGCTCAGGCAAAATCAAAAGGAGGGACTTCCAAAGGTTTGGACACACTGAAGCATCAGTCCTCAGTAAAACCCCGTTTAACAAAAATCAGAGCTTTAAAAGCTGTTTGAAGCTCCAAGTCCTCCAGTTCTTACTTGAGGGTTTTATCGTTCCTTTTTTGAAAAAACATGAATCTGAGAAACTCTTTTCTGGTATTTTCACAGTTTTTTGATGATGTTCAGTGTTTGGGGAGTGCTGTTAGGGTCGTGGCTAAGCCTTCAGCCTCTGGAGGAAGTCCTGTGTGGATTTAGAGCTGAGTTTAGGATCATTATCCCGCTGTAGAACAGCTATTCTTTTGATCCTCGGCCATAGTGATGTTTGCTTCCAGAATGTCAGGCTGTTTCTTTCAATCCATTGGTGCCTCTACCGATGGAAGCCCTCCCCAGTCAGGAGCTGCAACAAGAAGCTCAAAGCATGATTTATTCACTATGCTGAGCAGGTGGACAGCTGCTTTTTGGATACATCTACCACTCCTTTCTCACCAAACATACAGAACATCTCTGTGGGTTTCTGCAATGAGGAAAAGATTCTCTCTGACGACTTTCCCTTGACAAGTCTCATTGACCTCTTTAGTGACCTGGGGTTTTAATATTTATTAACCGAGGACACCAATACATGGATTTGGCCTTTTACAACCTTTCTCTTGCTTTGTGAGGGTTTTTTTTTTATTTTACAGTAGTGGACAACTTTTCTTGTTCAGATCACCAGATCGTAATCCTAAAGCAGGAATCCACCACACGTGACTTCAGCAGTTCACACAGAGGAAGAAAAAAGACAGCGGTATGTTTTCAAAAGGTCTGTGTTTTATTTTCAGTTTTTTATTTTCTGGCTATGGAGGTTTCACTGGAAATTATGCGCTGTTTTCACTAGCAACTAGAAATCTGCACGTGACTTTTATTTTGAAGGTTTCTGGGTGTTTACGCTGCATTTGTGTTTTACTTCCTGTCTATCCCATTCTGAACTGCTGAGCTTGACATGTTTTGGAAGTGTAGCAGGTAAAAAAAAGTACACTCAGAGCTCATGTACCCATGGCCGTTTCTTCCTATGTGCAACCTATGCTGTTGCACAGGGCCCCCAAGCCACTAGGGGCCCCCAAAGCTGCTGCGGTTGTGTTGATGGCGACACAAACTGGCTTTCATACTTTACCGTAACTCTTCGACAGTTTGCACAATCAACAGATTCTGAAAGCTGAGGCGATGTACTTTCCAGTGGTATATAATACATTACGGCAATGTTACGCAAGTCCCTGCCCAAGAACCAGGAAATAAACAGTCTGCCAAGTGCCGTGCTTAGAGGAGCTGAGGAATTGTTTTAGATGCGTATTTTCTACTTCTATCTCTTCTACTGGTGTAAATAATTATTATTTTCAGTAAATTTCCTACTTTGTTTTTATTTAGTAATTATTTAGTCATATTTGACATCGCTTTGCCTTTTTTTGTTCTCGTTTGGTTACCCGTAGTTTTGTCTTTTTTCAGCTGCGTTTTTCACTGATGCTTTTTATTATTTTATATGTTAGATTTGTTTTTGTAAATAAACCAGAAACCAGGAAACCTTCTAGAAAGAGGAAACATCCCTCAGAAGTTGTTGATGAGGAGCAAGATGTGCCCACATTGTTTTTCCATCCCAAATGCAGTAAGTATCTCTGCACTAAACCCGTTCCAGTTTCCATTGTCTAGTATTTCTGCTAATACTATTACTATACTATTATATACTATTACTGCTACTTCCAGGAAAACAAAACCTCCATGTACATCTGTGGTTGAGGATTCAGGTGTGGACGAAGATGATTCGCCATCACAGCTGCAGTAAGTTTATCTACAGTTCAAATATGTTTCTAGCTTTACTTCTGTATTTAAATTTTTTTTTACAGTTTTCATTTCTAGTATTTACCACTTGAGTTTGTTTTATAAAATATGATAAATTTATAATTTTAGAGATTCTTCTGATGAAGAGCCATCCACCATCAGCAGCAATAGACAATGTTAGAGACAGGATGCTGCTGGAGATGCTCCACATCTTCTGGACCCAGGTACCGTCGACCCACGACACCCAGATTTATCCCCAGAACAACCCCTGGCTATCAGCTACCTCTCACCACCAGCTCCACAAACAAAACAACAAGAAGTAGCAGAAGGGGGCCATGAAACATCAACCATTTCATGAGCAGCAGTGTGCCCAGGATGAAAACCCTCCAGTGACCTCTGCTCAAGGTCAAATCCCAGTCCCCTGGACCAGTGGAGAAGGAATGGACAAAGCACAGAAGGCAAGTCAGGGGTGAAACAGGTACACTCTGTGCAAAATAAATAATAAAAAAATCAACTACTCCCTGGATGTGCAAAGAGTACAATAAATAGTTTAGTCTGCAGCAGGACAAGAACGGCTCTGCAGAATACCACAGCAGCTAAAAACACCTGAACATTGAGAGACAATATCTACGGAAACTCAGACACTGAAAGTTGTATATGTAAATAAATCAATACAAGGTTGTAAAACATGTTCTGCTTGATTTCTGCTATTTTAGATTTGTTGTTCATGTACATTTTCTATTCAGAAATTTCTGAAGAAAAATCAAATGTTTTTTTTTTATTACAGTTATACTGTTTTGGTTTAAAATCCCAATTATAAACCACACACCAGCTTAAAATGTTAATAGCACAATAAAACCAGAGTTACACTTAAAATAATTAAATCTCAGACCATCAGAAAGATTGTGATCTTGACCACTGTCTTGATACAGGAATCTTTAATCAATTGTTGTTGTACTTGTTCACATGCACTTAGCCCCTTTACTGTGGTAGGTGTGATGTGAACGCCCCTCCCAGGGTGGAGGTCTGCACTCTGACTGCTTTCTAGTTTTTATTAGTTAGTTATATTTCTTGAGTGAGAGTTTAATTTTAATACTGTACCATGTTGTGCTTGCAATTTGTGACAATTCATGGTGTGTTTATAGATCATCAATTGCAGTTTGTCAAAATAGGGGGGCCCAGAACAATACCATGCACAGGGCCCCCACAATGCTAGAAACAGCCCTGCATGTACCTACGCTTCTGAGACGCTTCCAGAACTGCTTTGCGGCCGGTGGAAACATACCCATTCAGAAGGATGGTGGCTAATTGCTGTTTCACAAACATTACACGAGGCTAATGCATCTGGTGGAAAGGCCCGGTCACCCCATGTCATAGAGCCCCATTCAATTTCAAATGAGCACCACTCAGCAGCAGCCACTAGCGTTAGAGCTCCGCTTAGATGTCCGCCACAGAACATGCACGCAAAATCTCAAATGTTGAGCTGAGTAACCTCCTACCTTCAGGTCGACACTATAGCTGCTGGGATGAAAAGGGCATTTTCTTTTGAACCTGAAAGTGTTCACCATGCCCTGGACCGTTCTTCACATGAGACTGAGTTTGACCAAAAGGACTATAAAAGTTCTGAAAGAGCAAGTGTCCTAAGCTTTGAGTGTATGTACTTCAGTAAAGCCAAACATCTAAATGTGACTATGTTGTTAACCATCATGTCTGTCATAGTTTGGTAGACGTTAAAAGAAACAGAAACTTCTTCCTTCCTGGAGTCCGATTCTGAGCCCTGATCTTGGTAGCAGTGTAATCCTGTAATTTGATCATTTTTAATTACAACAGGAGTTCTGGTTTGTGCTATGACATCATCTTTCTTCAAAGAGAGAGCAATAGTAAAACAATAACCCTCAGAAAGGATTAGATGACACAGAGAAACAGTCTGGTGCTGATCAACTGAATGTCATCAAAAGCTCACGGCTACACACACACACAGACTGGAGTGTGTGTTGTTGTTTTTCTGCACGCTTTTAATTTTCTTCTTACCCAGAATCAAGGAGCTGTCCTGGACTGGTGGAAGGTTGTGTGACGGGAAGCAGTCGATCACAGACCTTTCTTTGATCCGTCTTCTCTTTTCTTCTCTCCTCCAAATAAACAATGACTGTAGGGTAATGAGGCCCCTGGGTGTTCTCAGGACACGAGATGAGAGGGAGACTGGGCCACACAGAACGTATAAAACAAGGAGACGCGAGGAGGAATGAAGGCCCAGCACCTCATTAGGGAACTATGAACAATGGTGGCAACTAGTCATTTCCTCAGCTAACGACTGCCACCTTACACACACACACACACACACACACACACACACACACACACACACACACACACACACACACACACACACACACACACACACACACACACACACACTGGTAGCATGTGCTAGTGATCCCTTACAAACATGTCAAACCACAGAGGACACACTGAGGTGCAGTGGCATGCTGGTAAAGATCATAATTCTCTTTTTAACGGCTGGCAGCTACAGAAAGACACGCACAAAAAGGGAAAATTAAGAAAGGAGAGCACTCCCCGGGGTCCCACAAAGCCTCACACTCTTCTCTTTCATCTTCAACCAATAAAAGAGAAACAAAAGTACTTTATCATCTTACACTTTATACAGCACTACAAAATGTTGTACTTTACATGTCATTTCAACAGCATTTAAAAATAAACGCCTTGTGGTTTTGTAACTATTCCACAGAGAAATGGTGTTATTTGGAGATGAAGATGATAATCACACACACAATTAAGCAATTCAGATCTTTTAATGTGTTTTTATCAAAACGTTAGGATCAGTTATCATGTTGTAGATGGCAATTTGAACAACCTCTGTTTGGAGAAATACAATAATTTCAGAGAAGCCATATAAGCAAACAGCTATACATAGTTAGCCTGGCAAGTCACCCGTATATAATCTGGCCTGGACCCACAGGGAGAGCTCAGTTGGGGGGCGGGATCTACGGTTGTCTTCCAAACTGTCTCCTCATGCTATTGGGCAACGTAGTGCATGACGGACTGACAGCTATAGATGTCAGTCAACGGGGCAGTCCACCACACTCTGTTGAAGAAGACACAAATGCATCCTTTTACTAAATAAACTCAAGTACCCCATCTGGTCTTGACTCAAAGGAAACCCCAGACTTGATGCCAAAGCTGTTTCAAAGAGCTTCCGACATCTTTGTTTCGCTCAGTTGCAGTAACATCCTGCCCACCAAACCTATAAAGAACTGTGATTGGCCCATCAAAGCCATAGACCACTGTGATTGGCCCACCAAACATATAAAGCACTGTGATTGGCCCACCAAAGCCATAGACCACTGTGATTGGTAAGACACAGTTCATTCAGGCCTACTGAGGCTCCTATGGAGTGAGGCCAGGCTCACCTGCTGAACAGAATCATTTAGCTTCGGCTAAGCTATGGCTACAGTTTTAGGTTAATTCATAGTGGGCTCATTTAAAAGTGGCCTAAAACAATTTTAATCCTAGAAAATCTCACATGCTTTGTGAATCCTATTTTGAAACATGAACAGTTCAACAGGAAGTGCTATTAATGCTAACTGCCATAACAAACACCCATGAAATCCATGTTAACTAAAGGCCTTCTATTCCCAGAAGCATTTGTCCAGATGGTGAAGATGGCCGCACGAAGGGCATCAACTGTCTGGAACTGTTGTCCATTTTGTCCCGGCGAGATTTTCATTACAAGTCCCCTTTAAATCCATTCTGTGCTTCTTGAGATATTCATGCTAACTGTCCGGTGAGGGTGACCATAACGGTAAATGCCAGACAGCTATATTTAATACCTTATTGCCATGGGCTTACCAGCAGGTGATAATAGCTGAATCATGCTAATACGATGGCCAGGCTAATAAAAACAAACACAAAATGAAGAAAACTCTTAATTTTTTCCCCTCCCAACAGTTCTCAGTATTTATTAAAGAGAGATGGGATAACTGGGATGAACAGGAGCAAGCCAGGGAAACAGACTTGTCCTGTTTGCCTACAGACACACATGGACACCTAAAACACTTCTGCAAACATGAAGACACACCCCGCTTACCGCAGGGTGTTTGGACAGACACTATTAGCTCTGGCAAACAGCGGTGTGCATTCATCAAGAAGCAGTTTTGTTTCATTTCCTCATCCGGTGTTCAGGCTCAGCAGAGGTCAGCCAGAGCGATGCCGTTTCACCTGAGCTGCTGCATCTTTATTCCCCTCCATCTCGCCCTCCATCTTTGTTCTCTATCCAGCATTGTCCACATGTCCCACTCCTTCTGCAAGCTTCATCCATCTCATCTCATTCTGTCTTCACTTCACTGATCCCCATCTCTCAAACCAACCCTCAGTCCCTCTGTTTTTCCATCGATCCATCTGCCCCACGCTCTTCCTTGGCTTCCGTCTCCCCTGAAAACAAACACTCCACAGGTTGGGCTCCCCCACTTCCCCGTGGACGGCGTGTTTGCTCAGGGATTAGATCGGGCTTTGTGCTGTTGAGGAAGGAAGGAACTAATCAGACTCTTATTTGTCGTTGCTTTCTGTGTCTTGTTGGGAGAAAATAACCTGACCACACACACACACACACACACACACACACACACACACACACACACACACACACACACACACACACACACACACACACACACACACACACACATGAATAGAAGATCGAGCAGAATGAAAGCTGAGAAACGACCGCAGGAAAACACACACACGCATGTGCACACACACTCCAGCCAGACGCAACCCGACTCCCTGCTTGACTCTGGGGGAGTTGAGCGTGTGTGTGTGTGTGCGTTTGCCGTGTGTGTGCACACGTGTGCTCAACACTGCCCTGCTGCTCCATTTCTGCCTTTATTTCCAGGGCAGGCCTGGCTTCTGATTGGCTGGCCGATATGAGGTGTATGGATCTGTGTTTTTCCTCATCGGCGTCAGCTCTGATTTGACAAATTCTATTTTCCCTGCTGTCGACAGGCTTTGGAGGTCACCGCGGCGATGGGATGCAGCTGCACAGGCAAGCCGCTCAGACGGCAACGTTTGCATGGGAGCGTCTGTTTGCTCAGCAGCCGTGGTGTTTCCAGACATTTGCTCAACATATGAAGCTTTAACTCACTGTCTGATCAGCAGCTTCAATTGTCTACTCCTCAGTTTATCTACAAACCAGATGAGCTCCACCTGGGTCACCATGACACCCGTAAATCTATGGAAGTCCATGAGGACACAAGTCCTTTTTCACTGTCTGTTGTGCTTTTGTGATACGTGTACAGATAAAGCCATGCTTCTTTTGACTGAATCCTTTTTTCTGTCCGACTTCACCAGGCGTTCAGGTTCTAAAGGCTCATAAGTGGAAAGGAAAATAAAATGTTTAAAATCAATGAAGCTTGGGAAAGATTTCCCTGACTTTTACTCCCAAAATCAATTTGTTCTCACGTTAATGCAGCTGAGTGCTGCTTTCCATTCGACTCGCTCTGCAATTCCCTGTTTCTAAACACTGTTTAAAATTCTAACTTACCCTGAAGTCCGTGGTCCTTCAGGCTCATTGTCCTTCTGACATCTTCACGATTAGTTCAGCAGTCTGACCAAGTCGTACATGTCTTAGCCGGGTCCAGCACTGGCTCGTTTCAAGGTGGCCTCTTTAGTCCAG